GAGGTGATGGAGCTCACAGGCACATGGTTGACACCTAAAATGAGACCTACAATAACCTTGGTGGGCATGGATTGCAGTGTCTGGTCAAGGGGTCTCTCTGCAGGGCAGAGCGAGAGAAGGTGTCTTCAAACATACCTTTTCTCTGGGACTAGTGTCCTTGGGTGAAGCTTATTTGATCCCTTCAAGGCTCTAGAAATTGGATTTTATGGATTTGACATCTAATCCCTCCTTTTGGAGATAAGATAGGTGGGAAAAGACCTTCTGGAGTGAAAGGCCACCATGGGGGCTTATGATATTGTGATACACTAAGAAAGAGATATTTGGTCTTTGTCTTAGTCCATTTTACATTGCAATAAAAGGATACCTGAGGCTGGATAGTTGCTAAAGAAAAGAGGGTTGAATACCCCAGCTTTTCCACTCTTTCACTCTTGCCATTTCTTTATTTTATTTAAAAAATTTTTTTAGTGGTAGAGTCTCACTATGTTGGCCAGATTGGCCTTGAACTCCTGGACTCAAGCAATCCTCCTGCTTCAACCTCCCAGTGCACACCACCACATCTGGCTATACACTTCCCATTTCAAAAAACAAGCCCTACCCGCCTTTTCCTAACTGACACTCATTATTCCTGTTTCATACTTGGCAAACTTTCATTGAAAAGTAGAAAGGAACCAGACAGTATGACATTTTATTGAGTGCCTTAACACTTATTGAAAGGCTGTGCTAACTAGTAATTAAGAATATGGGCTTTGGCTGGGCCCAGTGGCTCACACATATAATCCAGCACTTTAGGAGGCTGAGGCAGAAGGTCAGCCTGAGCCCAAGATCAAAACCAGCCTGGGCAACATAGTGAGACCCTGTTTCTAGCAAAAAAAAATTAAAATTAAAATTAAAAGATTAAGAAAAAAAGAAAAAGAACATGGGCTTTGGAGTGAGATGTATCAGGATCTGAATTCCAGCTCTATGGATTCCCAGATGCAGGCTTTGGTAAATAACTAAATCTCAGTTTCCTCATCTATAAAATGGGGATAGTAATACCAGCTTGAAGGTTTTCTGAACATTAAATAAGATATCTTAAAGAGACTAAGAAGGAAGTTGGTAAATGGTAGCTAATATTTCTACTCTGTTCTTTTTCTTTCCTGGTGCCAAGTGTTTTATATACTTATCAGCCCAATAAGTGGGCATAATTATTCTTATTTTATAGGTGAAGGAATTGAAAGTAAAAAATTTGGCTGGGTGTAGGGACTCATGCCTGTAATCCCAGCACTTTGGGAGGCTGAGGCAGGTGGATCACCTGAGGTCAGGAGTTTGAGACAAGCCTGGCCAACATGGCAAAACCTCATTTCTACACACACACACACACACACACACACACACACACACACACAAATTAGCTGGGCATGGTGGCATGTGCCCATAGTCCCAGCTACTCAGGAGGCTGAGGCAGGAAAATCACTTGAACCCAGAAGGTGAGATCATGCCACTGCCCTCCAGCCTGGGTGACAGACTCCATCTGAAAAAAAAAAAAAGAGAATTCATGAGGTGAAGTAGATATTATATTAGCTATACTGTAGATAAAGAAGTGAAAGCATGAAGTATTTAAATAACTCATGTCTCAAAGTGAAGCAATTATGGAGCAGAGATCCAAAGCCATGTCTATTTGATTTGGAATTTGTTAACTTCCTGATATTTAGCAATTTGCTATTAGTTGTCATTCCTGACAGGTTGTGATAGTGATGGCAATGTTTATTAGTTACATTAATTTTTAAGAATCAACTTTGGTCACAGACCTGAGATATCTTCATGACTATTGTAAGGATGAGAGTCCCAAATGTTAGGGATGGGGATAGTCCTCTTTGTTGCATTTTTTCCATCAGGCTCTATGCGCTTAGAAACAATGGGTGGTCCTTTGTTTTCTTCTATAACCCAAACAATCTATGATTATCTTTCTGCAGTTGTCCTAGTCAATTAGTATTATCTGAAGTTATGTTATTTTAAATAGCACTGTTAGGAGCTCTGTATAACAGTGTTTTTTTACTGCTTTCTTTAAATTTTCAATCTATTGATGAACCAACATAAAGATATCAAAACAGAGACAAATACTAGTGAACAGTAATTATACAGTTGCAATAATTGCAATGGTTGAGCTATAAATACAATTCTGAGTTTCCTAGTGTTACAGGGCCTTTGGGGTGTTGACTTTCTGGCCAGAAACCTCTGTGTCCAGTGATGCCTTTGCCAGAGTTCTTGTCCTTCATCAAGGAAGAATGAGGTATGCAGACAAGTGGAGGGCGAACAAGACGAAGAGGAGCGTTACTGACTATTAAGAGCTCAGAGACCTGCAGTGGGTAGCTCCTCTCTGTAGGCAGGTCATCCTGACATCTTCCCAGCTCCTAGGAGAGAGGAGGCCCTAGAGTGGATCACTACTCTCTGCAGCTGGCAGTTCTGACATCTCTGCAAGTCTCTAAAGCTCTCAGCAGAGAGGGTAGCTCCTCTTTGCAGCTGGTCATCCCATCATCTGCTTGACTCTGGCTGAGCTGGGGATTTTATGGGCCTCAGAGGGGAGCAAGTGCCTGCCTCTGATTGGTCCATGGCAGTCATGGGTGGCCGTGGATGGGATTGGAAAAGGCACCATAAGTTCCCACTCTGGTTCATGAGGCTGGCAGCCCAACCCCTAGTCTTCAGGCTTTCCTTTGATCCACCCTCTTCAGCCCAGGAATCTGGCTCCCACTGCCATTCATGGCACCCAGGTTCAGCCTCAACTTTGCTCCAAGAATGGAGCAGGTGCCAACAGCAGGGAGAAGCCAGGCAGCAGGAGCAGGCACATCTGAGCCTGTTGGGGCATGCAGGGCCTTCCTGGGAAGCAAGAGTGCAGGGATGCCTGGGTCTGCAGCCGTGGTTTCGGTGGCTGCAGCTGCTCCCAGGATGGCAGGTCTCCTATTCCTAGCCCCCCAAGAGCACAGAGAGGCTCAGATCTGTAGCCACAATGTGGGCAGGGCTCCTGCCTACTCTGTGGAGCAGGAGGCCCAGGTCTGTAGCTATGCTGCAGAAGCACCTGGGAAACTCCCACCCTAACTTGGAAGGGGTGGGTCTGCCACTTGTCCCTGGCTCCCGCCAAAGGGTGCAGCCGTGGCCATGCCTCCTTGCTGCAGCAGCAGGCCGTCTAGAGCAGCCACTGCCATCACTAGTGTAGTGAATTCTCATCAATTTTATTTTGTTTTGGCATCCATTTCGAATATGTTTAACTTTCTCACATGAGAAGCAGGGCAATCACCTTTGACACAGTTTCCAGTTCTCTGCTTCCTCCCAGTTCTTCAATGTGATCCATCCAGGTAGCTGCCTAATGCAACTGCCTCCTGGTGACCATCTTTCTATGGGAGAGGTAAATGCAGCCTGCTTGACTCACCTGTTGACCTCCATAATCCACACAGACTGTGTAGGTAGCCTCCAGTGACTACCTCACAGTGACAGGGTGACTCCATGGAACTTGTGCCTGCTTGCTCTAAACCCACTAATTAGAACTCCCATGCAAAACTGCTTGGGTAACATGCTGGACCCCAATAGAGGCTTTAGCTCCACAGGTATCACCTTCTTTGCTCCCTTTCCACTGGCTGGCTCTTGCCAGAGAGGGTGCAGCCCTGGCCATGCCTCCCTGCTGTAGTGGCAGGCTGTCTGGAGCAGCACCTCCAGATTTAGCCTCCCTCTGAAGACAAGACCAAATTAGAAAGAAACCAAAACAAAAAAAATCACAACACCCAGCAGTCAGTGAACATCATCATCAGAAAAGAGGAAAGATACAAAGGAAGCAGGGTTTTTCCTTGTTGTAAACTTCAAGAAAAATTCCCTTCATGGAACTTTACTAAAGATGGACTAAAAAGTGGGCTGCCCATGGTGGCTCATGCCTCTAATCCCAGCATTTTGGGAGGCCGAGGTGGGTGGATCACTTGATGTGAGGCATTCAAGACCAGCCTGGCCAACATAGTGACAACCGTCTCTACTGAAAATAAAAAAAAATTAGCCAGGCGTGGTGGCATGTGCCTGTGGTCCCAGCTACTCAGGTGGCTGAGGTGGGAGGATCATTCGAGTGTGAGATGCCGAGGGTGCAGTGAAATGAGATCACACAACTGCACTCCAGCCTGGGCAACAGAGCCAGAACCTGTCTCAAAAAAAAAAAAAAAAAGAAAATGATGCCTTCAACATCATTCTACAGCAGATGCAGTAATGGAATTCAGTCTATGTTTTCTTTCTACTTTGGGTAAAAGCTGAGGACATAATGAAGGATGTTTTGCTTAGGACTAAAAAATTACAAGAAATTTGTATGGCAGGCACTAAGCATATGCTCATAGCAGCACACCTTTCAAACAGTATCCTTGAATACAAGCTTTCCTGTTAGAGATCTGATAAAAGCTAGGTAGCAAAAATTCTGCTACGATGTGTTTTGATGAGTACCTACACACTAAATTGACATTCTGAGTTGCTGGAAGAGCTACATACTCTAAATCCTATCTCAGACTACGGCTTGTTTGAACCCTTGTAGGGCTCCTTCCATCCCGGAGGAGCCATCCGGTACACCTACCCATATGAGTGGGCTGGAGAACTCCTTTCCTTGTTTGCTGTTCTCATCCCCTTCCTGAACGTCACGTAGTAAACATCACTTATGCTTATCAGGCACGCTTAACCAGCAACATGAGATACATGAGTATCGTAGTGTCCCACGATGGGCTGCCACACTTTCAGCCAACTTGAGGAGACAAAACATTGTTCATTTTTGCATCTTTCTTAACACAGGACCGCAGCATGGTCCAGGGAGTACAGAGAGACAATTCCCTCCGGGTAGTTCTTATAGAAAAGCCTTCCCTGAACTATTCTAAAGCCTTGGAAAACTTTCTTTTCTTCTGTATTGGACAAACCATCAAACATCGCGGCGGAGAATAGGGAAAGGCCTCGGGTTCCGGGGCCGGGGCGGGGCGGGGCGGTGAGGGACGGGCACACGCTCCAGAGGGCGGGGCCAGGCTGGAGTCAGGCTGCGGGGCCGGACCGCAGCTGCGGGTCGGGGCGCCGTGCGCGTGCGCGTGCGCGTGCGCGCGGCAGGTCGGCGCCGGGCGGGGGCGGAGCGACAGTCGCAGGCCCACGCCGTAAACAGACAACATGGCGGCCGCGGTGGCGATGGCACCTGGGACATTGGGATCCCTTCATGCTGGCGGCGTCCGCCTAGTAGCTGCTTGCAATGCGTGGCTCTGCCAGGGGTTGAGGCTTCCCGGCTCGTTGGCAGGCCGGCGGGTGGGCCCGGCGATCTGGGCCCAGAGCTGGGTGCCTGTGGCCGGGGGTCCCGCACCAAGAAGGGGCTACAGCTCTGAGGTGAAGACGGAGGACGAACTACGGGTGCGGCACCTGGAGGACGAGAACCGAGGTGAGGTGCGAGCGCGGGGCAGGCGCGGTCACCCATAGGACGGGCAAAAGGTGCAGCGTCTGCCCGCAGGACGTGGGGTCGAGGTTTGGCAGGCGCGCCGAGCCTGGGTCCCTCCCCTTCCTTACCTCTCCACTCACCCCAGCGTGGGCCGTTTCCTTGAGAACCTTCTTCTTGCTTTTGATACCTAAACGTGTATCCCGGAGCAGCTTAACTGTAAAGTGACCTCATTCCTCGCGGCAAACAAAAGTGCAGCTTACGCCCTCCGCTCCAGACAAGCCAAGGTCAATACATATCCTGGGTATTTAATCCTTGTTACCAGGCTTTATTCTTGCTGTGTAATGGCTTTCTGTAAACTCAGCTGTTAGTGGTGGAGTTGTAAACGCTGCAGTGAAACTGCGTTTTATTACGAAGAATTTTAAATTTGAAGCTGCTCAGCTGGAACAGTTTTTCGTCTTGTTCATTTTATCTTAGAAAGTTAGTCTTGAGGGACTATTCCACTTCATTTAAACAATTTTGAGCACTTTAGTATTTTGCTCCGCTCTGAACAAGAATGTGGTTGGTATTGATCTTGCCGGTGAGCTACCTACTATGGGAGAAGACATCATTGGTAGCAGTACAATACAGAGGATGCAAGGCTTTGAAGGAGGTTGTCTTTCCTAGGGAATACTGTTAAAGCTCAGTTCCTTTCACTGGTAGTGAAGGGAAAAGCTAAAAGGGTCGTGAAGGGTGGAACAGCAGTTTACCCGGGTTAAGCCAGAGGACCAGTCTTAATTTTGACATGCTTTTGTTGAGCACCTATAATCTGTTAAGCAGAAATGAAAAGCGAGTAAGCCATGACTGCTGTTAGTATAGTGAAGCAAATCCTGGTTGTTGGTAGGCTGTGTGAACTTGAAGGCATGGTAAGAGGAAAGGGCTGTAATATCTGCAGGGTTTCGTCATATGAAAGGGTGGTCCAAGGCATTCTTTAATAGGCAGGGGATTTTGCCATTTGCGAGGGTTCTTGGGCAGACTTCTCTTAACTATCTCACATGTAAAACAGGAAAAATAATACCAACCTTATAGGTTTGCTGTGAAGACGAGATGAGATTGTTAATATAAATTGCCACTATCTAGCCTGTAGCAGATGCTCGGTAGTGTGGTGAATTACTTTACTCCTTACTTGTTTATTATTCCAGACAGAGACAAGAACATGGTCAAAGCATGGAGATGTGAACATGTATGGTGTATTTGGGAAGTAACATAATGCAAGTGTGGCAGTAGTGTGGCATGATAAACAGAATAGTAAGAAATTCAGCTGGAAGCGTAGACTGGCACTGGAGTGATTAGAGCCTGAATGCCACCATCTTTTGGGTAAGCTTAGTCATGATGGGACTTCACTTCCATTAAGTGTACCAACAATATGTTAGATATAAAGGGATTGCAAGTACAGCTACTAATATGCACCATATTCTGTTTTTCTTTTTCTTTTTTTTTGGTCTATAACTTGAAGGAAATTGAAAATACATTTATGCAAAATGTCTGGCAAGATGTTGAGTTATGATCTGAATGTACCAAAAGAGAGAATATCATATAATAAAAGGCAGTAAATGAAATGTTTTTTGGATGTCAAGGTTTCTTTTTTTTCTTTAGCCTTCATTTCCTGATAAGATAGAACATCATGATTTTTTTTTTTTTTTGAGACGGAGTTTCGCTCTTGCTACCCAGGCTGGAGTGCAATGGCGCGATCTCGGCTCACCGCAACCTCTGCCTCCTGGGTTCAGGCAATTCTCCTGCCTCAGCCTCCTGAGTAGCTGGGATTACAGACACACGCCACGGTGCCCAGCTAATTTTTTTGTATTTTTAGTAGAGATAGGGTTTCACCATGTTGACCAGGATGGTCTCGATCTCTTGACCTCGTGATCCACCCGCCTCTGCCTCCCAAAGCATGATTTCTTAAAGTTGACCCCACCTCTTTTGAGGATTGGCAAGAATGAAGACTCAGGCTTGGCTAACATTGCTTATGTTTTGCTTTGCTTTACTGTTGAACCAGCAATAAGCAATGCAAAGAAAACCATGAGACCCAACAGGTGAAGGAGTTTCCTGGATGCCTTTGTTTCTCTTAGAGGTTGGTCAAAATTTGGTGCTCTCAGCAGCCCCTTTGGAATATGATTGATAACTCTCCTAGTCATAGAAGCCCCAAACAGCACGCAGTACTTTAGGTGGGATGGGGTTCCATATTTGTAATTTGTAATCTGTTATCTGAGCTCCATATTTGTAATTTGTTGTGGGAGACATGGCTCTATAACCAAATTTTCTTTCTTTCTTTCTTTCTTTTTTTTTTTTGAGACGGAGTCTTGCTGTTTCACCCAGGCTGGAGTGAAGTGAAGTGAAGTGCTGCCATGTGGGCTCACTGCAGCCTCTGTCCCCACCCCCGCCCGTTGCCTGCAGGGCTTTCTTAATTGTCGGGCATCTCATAGTCCATCTCCTTGCTGCTGGACCTAAGCTCTGCCTTTTTCTGTTCTTTTCTTTTTGTAGGCTTTTGCACACTTTCTGAAATGACTCTTCCCCTTCCCCTGTCAACCTTTCTGCAATTTGGCATAATTATGACCCATTTCAAAGATCATCTTTTTGAACCGTGTCAGAACAACTTCTGGCAGAAACAGAGCAAACAAGCCATTGCATAGTGCAGATTGTCCTTGATACCTGCTCCTTCCTCCTTTTTCACATCTAGATTGTCATCAGGTCTTCTTGTGTTTGAAATCTTTCCATGTGTGTCTTTACTGACAGCATCCTTGTCCAAACTTGTCAAGTGAACTGTTGCAGAGGTAGCAGGTCTTTCTGCATCTACTATCTTTTCTTATTTAAGAAGTTGATTCCTTTTGTATGTTTTTTTTTAATGTTTAAAACATGTTTTTATATATTTTATAGTATGTAAATTATATCAATAAATACATGTATATTGATGTGTATGTATTTTTAAATATTTAAAATTAAGATTTAATCTCATCTGTATTGAGATGTAAATCATATATCGTAAAATTCAAAATGTAGAGTTGTTTTTAGTATATTCACAATTATGCTTTGTCAACTCAAGCCAATTTTAGAACATTTATCAGATCAAAAATAAACCCTGTAGTCTTTAGCAGTTACTCTCTACTTCCCCGCTTATCCCTCCAGCCTTAAGAAACCCACATTTATCTACTTTTTGTCTCAATAGATTTGTCTATTCCAGGCATTTATATAAAAGAATAGTATAATAAGTGGTGTTTTTGTGCCTTCCTTCACATAACGTTATATTTTCAAGGCTCATCCTTGTTGTAGCTTGTACCAGTATTTCTTTCTTTTTAATGGCCAAGTAATAGGTATGGATATATTACATTTTGTTAGTCTATTCATTACTGATATACATTTGGATTATTTCCATTTTTTGGATGATATGAACCATGCTTCGGATTATTTCCAAGAAACTGTTGCCTAACCCAAGTTTACAAAGATTTACACTTACGTTTTCTTCTATGAGTTTTATGGTTTTTGCTGTTAACATTCATTTGTGACGATGATCCAATTTTGAGTTAATTTTTATATATGGTGGGTAGTAAGAGGTCTAACTTCATTCTTTTACTTGTGGATATCTAGTTGTCCAGGCACCATTTTTGGGAAAGACGAGTCTTTCACTACTGAGTTGTCTTGGTACCCTTGTTGAAAATTAATTGACCATAAATGTAAGGGATTACTTCTGGATATTCAAGTCTATTTCATTGATCTGTGTATCTATCCTTATGCTAGTACCAAACTGATTTCTGTAGCTTTGTAGTAAAATTTGAAATTGGATAGCATGAGTTCTCCAACCTTGTTCTTTTAAAGGAGTGTTGGCTATTACGGGACTCTTGGATTACCATGTGAATTTTAGGATCTGCTTGTGAATTTCTGCCAGAAAAAACCACTTTGGGATTTTGATAGGGATCACATTGAATAGGTAGATTAATATAGGGAGTATTGCCATCTTATCAGTGTTAGGTCTTCCAATCTATGATCATGAAGTTTTTTTTCATTCAACAGTGTTCTGTAGTTTTCAGTGTACAGTGTACAGGTTTTACACTGCTTTAGTTAAATTTATCCCAAAATATTTTATTCTTACTGAGTTATAAATACAATTTCTCTTAATTTCATTTTCAGATTTCTCATTGTATAGAAATTACAAAATAAACTGATTTCTGTATGTTGGCTTGTGTCATACAACTTTGCTGAACTTGTTAATTTGTCCCTAATAGTATTTTTAGTGAATTTCTTAATATTTTCTATGTACAAGACTGTGTCCCTTGCAAATAAATAATTCTGTATTCAGTTGGCTCTACTGTTCAGTTAGATCTAGTTGATTGATGGTGGTGTTCAATTCAACTATACTCCTACTGATTTTCTGTCTGTTGGATCTGTCAGTTTCTGATAGAAGTATGTTAAAATATGCAGCTATAATAGGTTTGTCTGTTTGTCCTTGTAGTACTATCAGTTTTTACCTCACATAGTTTGATGTTCTATTGTTTGGTGCATACATATTTAGGATTATTATGTCTTACTGGAGAAATGACCCCCTTTTTATCATGTAATGCTCTTGTTTATTTTAATGGCTTTTGGGGTACAAGTGGCTTTTGGTTACAAGTGGATGAATTGTATAGTGGTCAAGCCTAAGATTTTAGTATACCTGTCACTGGAGTAGTGTACAATGTACCCAGTATGTAGTTTTGTATCCCTCAACCTTCTTGTGCTACCCCTTTATGAGTCTCCAGTGTCTGTTACACCACTGTTTTGCCTTTGTGTACCCACAGCTAGCTTAGCTTTCACTTCTTTTGTTTTGAGACGGAGTCTTGCTCGGTAGCCTATGCTTGGGTGCACTAGTATGATCTTGGCTCACTGCAATCTCTGCCCCCCAGGTTTAAGTGATTCTCCTGCTTCAGCCTCCCAAGTAGCTGGGATTACAGTAGTCAGTACGCCCGGCTAATATTTGTATTTTCAGTAGAGACGGGGTTTCACCATGTTAGGCTGGTCTCAAACTCCTGATCTTAGGTGATCTGCTCACCTTGGCCTCCCAAAGTGCTGGGATTATAGGCGTGAGCCACCACAGCCATCCTTGGCTCCCACTTCTAATTGAGAACTTACAGTGTTTGGTTTTCCATTCCTGGATTACTTCACTTAGAGTAATGGTCTCTAGCTCCATTGAGACCTTGAGTGGTGTCATTGAGAACTTTAGTTAACTTTAGTCAATTAGCTCAACTGTAGTTCAGAAAATAGGTGAAACCAGCTGGGCGTGGGAGCACCTGCCTGTAGTCCCAGCTACTCAGTAGGCTGAGACCGGAGGATTGCTTGAGTCCAGGACTTTGATGCTGCAGTGAGCTATGATGGAGCCACTGCACTCTAGCCTTGGTGATACTTGGTGATACCCTGTCTCTTCAAAAAAAAAAAAAAAAAAAGAAATGTGTATGAACCTGTTTTATGTAGAACAGCACCAACAGAACATATAATCCAGTTATGTAAAATAGCAACGACAAGCCAAATGGTAATATACAACTCTATTAATGTATGTAAATATGTTAAACATTTTCTGGAAGGTTACATGTAACTGTGATACCTGTGGCTTCCTCTGGGGAAGGGAATGAGTTGGGTCTAGGGAAGAAGGACTTTCACTTTGGGTGTATTTTTTCAATTTTGTATAAGCAAAATGTATTCCTTTTTTTAAGTCTCAGCAAAGTTGTTACATTCATCTTTCAGTTGTGTGAGCCTTATAGTGCAGGGTTAATGCTGTAATGTGACCTTATTACAGACTCACTGTATATTTTTGTATGTTTTGTGAGAAGTTAGGGAAAGTTTAAAACAGAAACTTAAGGTTGGCATGTAAATGCCTACGTTTTTCTGAGTTTGATAAACTTGTCTAGGTTATGTGAGGAGGATGCATGATAATTGAATTCTTGAGAAGTGATTGAATTGTGAATTAAAGTGAGACAATTATAAAACAAAAATTTTAGACTCTCCTGAATAAAGCTAAGGTTTTATTCCATTTTGGAGTACCAGAAGGCTACAGATATATTTGATGGTACCGTTGTTACATACTAGATGGTTTATTCCAGATTGCAGAGCTAATTTCTAGCTTTTTGAAGTAGAAGTACTCAAAACATTAAGTCTCAGATATGGGACCAAAACTGCTGAAATTAACTGTGATAGAACCATTCTGATGGCATTTTACACTTCAGCAGTGTAATGCTGTCAGCAGTATCATATCTAGCAGAAATTATGGTAAAACTTTAGTACTTATTGCATGAGAAGTGTTCATCCTAGAAAGGAGGATGATTGGGTGCTCATGTTCATTTGATTCTAATACAGTCCCATGGAGTGTGGAACTATTAGTATCTTAATAGAGTAAGAAACTGAGGATCAGAAAGGTTAAGTAACTTGCTGAATAACTAGTAAATGGCAAACTGGGATTTTATCCCCAGCAGCCACACCTTAGAGCCTTCATTCTTAGTCCTTGTAGGTGATATCAACTTGGATGTCTGAAAGGCATTTCAGATTTGCTTTAATTCAAAACAGAACTCATGAGATTTATTCCCTTCCACCCTCACCTTGGTATTTTTTATGATTTTGTCTCATTAAATGTCATCTTGTTTCATCCAATTGCTGAAGCCAGAAACGAGGTAAATAATCCTTAACACTTTCTTCCAGTTAAATCAGTCCTCAGTCTAGGTATCATTAACTCATTTAAAATTTTGAATAGTTCTTGAGTCCTTTCACTTTCCTTTATTTCTACCGCTGCCAATCTCAGCCAAACCTGTTATCTGTTGATTGGACTCGAATTGTGTCTTGAAACTCCCACCCGTATCTCCTTCTGGTATGATCTCCAAGTATAGAATCTGTTTCTTCCCAGTTTTATATGTGCGTGTGTGTATGTTTATACCTGTGTAAACTCCTTCAATGGTTACTCCTTGTTCTTAGGATAAAGACCAGACTTTTTAGCAGGTCTGTAAGGATATTTCTGGCCAGTATGTGCTGACCTGTCTACTTCATTGGTAACGCTCTTCTCCCCCCTGGTAGGTGATAGGACGTTCAGTTGGGACCATGACTAGTTTATGCTCTTCCTGTGTTTCCTCTGCCTGGCAGTCAGCGCCTCTCCTTCACTCTCCCTTTAACTCTTACTCATCCTCCCACCCTCCACAGAATGGGTCAGCTTTCCCTGACCATCTCCTTTTGCCCTAGACCATTGTTAGTTTGGGTTTCAAGTTACTATAGCACCACTTACAGCTTGTAAAGCATTTTGAATTGATTAGTAATGATTTTTATGATTTTTAATGTTTGTATTTCCCTCCCGGACTCTGGTTCCTTGGCTGCTGATCACCATAGTACTACTCAGTATGTTTGAATGAATGGACACATGTAGTCTTAGCTGCTTGATTTTATTCCTGAGGAAACCGAAGACTGAACAGTATAACACAGTTTTATTCAAGTATAGAGTTAGATTGACACTTAATAGCTGAAGTAAGTTACTTCACCTCTCCAAGTCTCCATTTCTTTATCTGTTAACTAAGGATAAAAATAGTGCCAACCTCTTGGGTTGGCGTGGGGATTATTTAAGTTAATTCACTTAAAGCACCGAGGGTAGTACCTGAGGCCTACTGGTGGTAGCTGTTGTCAGTAGTATTGGGATCTACCCAAGGTTATTCCCAAGGTTTAATGCAGAGCTTGTCAGATACCAGTCCTTTATGCTTTTCTCTGTACTGAGAGCATTTGAAATTCTTGCAAACTTATTCTTTTGTGAGCAGAAGTTCATCTTTATACTTAAAAAAATGGGTCTGCACAGTTTCTTGCACAGCGAAGGCATGTTATATTTCATTGTCTTCAGTTTAACTCTGTTGCAAATAAGAACCATACCCACCTCTGGCTCAGTGGAAGGTATTTCTGATACACAGTGAAAATTTGTTTATTCCAGGAACAAGAAAGTTAGTAGAGGTTGTATAGAACTCTGCATATCAAGTTAAGGTCTTTGAAGTTAGCTATTTTGAAATAAATAATGAAAGGATTTTAAGTAAGGGGTGAATCTTTGCATAGTATTGTTTTTTAGAAAATTGGTAACTGAAAGGAATGGGAGGCTGGGTTTAGATGATGGTCTTTGATTGAAAATGGTGCAGTTAGGAGAGATAGCTGAAGTTGTGGGACACATAATGAACTTTGTTTTTTATAGATTGAGTTGGAAGTACTTCTTGGACGTCTAAATGGAAGTACCCTCAGGTTAAGTGTATCAGACAGAAATCAGGAGAGAAGCCTAGGATAGAATTACTGAAAACTATGTAGTATGACCAAAAAAAAAAAAAAATTGAGATTTTTTTTTTTTTGGAGTTGGAGTTTCGTTCTTGTTGCCCAGGCTGGAGTGCAGTGGTGTGACCTAGGCTCACTGCAACCTCTGCCTCCCAGGTTCAAGTGATTCTCCTGCCTCAGCCTCCTAAGTAGCTGGGATTACAGGCATGTACCACCATGCTCAGCTAATTTTGTATTTTTAGGAGAGATGGGGGTTTCTCCATGTTGGTCTCGAACTCCCAATCTCAGGTGATCTACCCACCTCGGCCTCTCAAAGTGCTGGGATTACAGGCATGAGCTACTGCGCCTGACCTAAAAAACTGAGATATTCACAACTGGCATCCTAGCAGAAAGCAGATGATGTAATACCTGCATGTGACAAAGTTTATTAGCTGTTACTTCTGTATCTGCTTGAAGATGATAAAACCACATTTTAAATAGTATCCTTTAACTTAAAATTTTCATTAATAAATGTGGTCTTCCCTCTAGTTTGAGTTAGTGATGTAAAATTTACCAAGACATTGCAAATTACTTTGGTGCTTAAGAAGAGATAAATTGAAGGGAACATGATGTCATGAATTTCTTTGATTTGTTAGGTTTGAAGTTAGCTAGATGTGATGTAGAGTCTGTGTTCTTTAAATGCCTCACTCACTCAAATGCTTGTTCTTTTTTTCTCCTTTAGGAATTGTGGTGCTTGGAATAAACAGAGCTTATGGCAAAAATTCACTCAGTAAAAATCTTATAAAAATGGTGAGTGTAAAGATTAAACTGTTTACTTCTAATATTAAGATACCTTATTGTCATCAATATAAAAACATTTTTTTGTCTCTTTTTCCTCCTATGCTTCCTCTTTCTGTTTAGCTATCAAAAGCTGTGGATGCTTTGAAATCTGATAAGAAAGTACGGACCATAATAATCAGGAGTGAAGTCCCAGGGATATTCTGTGCTGGTATGTAAACATGTTGTATTATAAAATTAAACGCTTGTCTGATTTTTCCTCAGTAATAGTTTGTTTTCCATTAGAATGTTCTATGGTTTGAACGCTGTTACTCCTCTGTCTGTGTTTTACTGATTTACAAGAAAAAAGCATGCTTAGTCTGTCAGCATGTTTAGTCTGACATGAAAGAAGCTTTAAAAGCAACATGTAGATTGTTTCAGAAGTTGGCAAAAAATCTTTGAGCCATTAAAATACTTGTTTGTAGTACGTGAAGTACAATATTTGTTGTGTCTTAATTATGGCCAATATTCTTTAGTTTCATTCATTTTCTTTGAGATAGAGTGTTGTTCTGTTGCCCAGGCTGGAGTGCAGTGTCATGATTTCAGCTCACTACAGCCTCTGCCTTCTGGGTTCAGGCAGTTATCCTGCCTCAGCCTCCTGAGTAGTTGGGATTAGATGTGCCTGCCACCTTGACCTGCTAATTTTTTGTATTTTGAATAGAGACAGGATTTCACCATGTTGGCCAGGCTGGTCTTGAACTCCTGATCTCAAGTGATCCACCATCCTTGGCCTCCCAAAATGCTGGGATTACAGGGATGAGCCACTGAGCCTGGCTCCTCGTTTTATTCTTAAGGGTTCTCAGTTTTTTTAAGCTTCAATCTCTGTGGCTTCTGCCTTAAAATATTGCAGAGTAGTGTGATATTTAGAAATATACAATATAAATAATTTGGCTCTTGATAAGGTTTTATTGCCTTCTTAATACATTTCTTAAAATTCTTAAAATGCAGGCTATCTAATAGAATAGTTTAACTCCAGTTGAGTAATCAAAGAGTGTAGATTTATTATCCTCACTGCCAGGGTTATGATGTGCAGTGTAGATTTCCATTTTTACATTTGTCAAATGCCAGTAATACTGTCTGCTTAGTATGAGTGCTTATAAGCGTTTTACATATATTTTGAGTTCTTTTTTTTTAAAAAAAAAATATGTAAGACTTATACCAAGATAATTAGGATTCTTATGTCTAGTTTTAGGGACCACATAAATGTGATCTGGAGATAAAGGAGTCTAACACTGTGACTAATGGTTGAGAAGTTCTCTAGAGGCCATTCAATGACTTATTGGGAAGATGTAGAGTAGCTTTAAGGTTTTTAAAGAAGGCCCAATTATATGAATCTTTGAGGAGTGATAATGTTGTGAAGACAGATTAACATTTTAAAAATAAATGTTAGTGGTCATCCTGGCATTGTTTTTCTCTTGGCAGTAGGTTTTCTAATTATCACACTATAGTTACTGGTGGAATTCTTTTTATTTTACCTATTCTTTTGGAGCTCATTTGTTTAGGATTTCTGCATTAGGAATATGCTTTGAAAAAGGCTTTAATGCTTTGGCACAGTTTGTGGCTGTCTGTTACAGATTGCCTTTTTGAGGACATGCAAAATGTCCTCAAGTAATATACCACATGCTATTTATCAGAATAACATGTTAGCCTTGAGTACTTTTTTTTTTGAGATGGAATTTTGCTCTTGTTGTCCAGGCTGGAGTGCAGTGGAGCTATTTTTAACTGTATTTTGTCAACAGAAATCAGTGTTTTAATTATAGAAAAATTGGGGCATGGCATCTCTTTTAGTAATTCAGTATATATGATGGAACTATTATTTCAGATTTCTCTGAAAGGTTTTTCTTTCTTTTTTTTTTTGAGGTGGAGTTTCACTCTTGTTGCCCAGGATGAAGTGCAATGCTGTGATTTTGGCTCACTGCAACCTCCGCCTCCCAGGTTCAAGTGATTCTCCTGCCTCAGCCTGCTGAGTAACTGGGATTATGGGCTCATGCCACCACGACAGGCTAATTTTTTGTATTTTAATAGAGATGGAGTTTCACCATGTTGGCCAGCCTGGTCTTGAACTCCAGACCTCAGGTGATCCACCCACTTTGGCCTCCCAAAGTGCTGGGATTATGGGCATGAGCCACTGCACCCAGCCCCTTTCTTACATGTAGTTACATTTTTTAGGCTGACCAGTAGGTCTGGCTTTTAATATGTACATATGAAATAAAATTCTAGGCAAATAAAATCTCTCTACATTGTTTTAAGAATATTTAAACTTAAAGCCTATTTTAGTATAAACATCTTAATCAGGCCACATTTATCAGTTATTATTGAAGAATGCAGTCTTTCACATAATTAACACTTTAAATTGTATTCCAAAGTAGTAATATTAAAAGAAACATTAAAAACACAGTGTACCATTTATTGATTATTATTTTAGCCCCTTCTTCATCCCTTCAAAGTCATCATTTTCCCTTTTCTTACTCTGCCCCCACAAAGGTTTCTCTGTATATATTAATACCTATATCCCAGTGATACATTATTCATAGGCTTAGCAAATGGTCTTGCCTCAGATTTCTTGAGCACAGGAACATCTCTAATTCTTTGAGAATTATCTTTTACATTCTCAGAACACAGCACACAATAGGGACTCAGCATATATTTGCTGGAATTAATCAGCCTTTAAACTGTGCTTTAATTCACTGATTTTTTTTTTCAGGAATGGTTGGGATATAATAAGCAGCTTCTCTGAATTGTCTCATACCACTCTCCTGTTTACTGATAGTAAGTTGGACAAGATCTTTTTTTCTAAAATGCTAGCAAAACAGATAAACATTATTAAAGAGATTCCTAAGGCCACACGTGGTGGCTCACGCCTGTAATCCTAGAACTTTGGGAGGCCAAGGCAGGCGGATAACCCAAGGTCAGGAGTTCGAGACCAGTCTGGCCAACATGGTGAAACCTTGTCTCTACTAAAAATACAAAAAATTAGCCTGCGTGGTGGTGGGTTCCTGTAATCCCCGCTGTCTGCGAGGCTGAGGTAGCAGAATTGCTTGAACCAAGAAGGCGAGGTTGCAGTGAGCTGAGATCATGCCACTGCACTCCAGCCTAGGTGACTGAGTGAAAATCCATATCAGAAAAAAAAGAAAAAAATTAGCAGGGCATGCCTGTAATCCCAGCTTCCTGAATCACAAGAATTACTTGAGCCCAGGTGGCGGAGCTTGCAGTGAGCCGAGATCATGCCACAGCACTCCAGCCTGGTTGACAGAGCCAGATCCTGTCAAAAAAAAAAGAAAAGAGATGCCTACATTGCCTTGCAGGTGATTTCTGACTTCTCATTTAAATCTACCTATTATTTAGGATTGTTAAGTACTTACATTTTAAGTTTTTTAATCAAATTTTAGTTTTAAAAAATAGGATGGTAGGTCAAAATGTGTGAAAATGAAAAAAACAAAGAGAACTCTCTCTAACCCTACTTCCTGTACTTTATTTATCCCCTAATAAAAATAACAACTATTATGTTTATCCATCTAGTATTTTATTATATATATGTACACATTCACACATACACACAAATAGAGTCATGTGCTGCATAACAACATTTTGGTTAACAGTGGCCTACGTTATACAATGCTGGTCCTATGAGATTATTTGTTTTATATTTTTGTGATGGAGTCTCACTCTCACCCAGGCAGGTGTGTAATGATGTCATCTTGTCTCACTGTAACCTCTGCCTCCAGGATTCAAATGATTCTCATGCCTTGGCCTCCTAAGTAGCTGGGATATAGGTGTGTATCACCATGCCTGGCTAAATTTTGTAATTTTAGTGGAGTTGAGTTTTACCATGTTGCCTAGGCTGTCTTGAATTCCTGGCCTCAGGTGACCCCCCTGCCTCAGCCTCCCAAAGTGCTGGGATTACAGGCGTGAGCCATTTTGCTTGACCTCATAAAATTATAATACTGTATTTTTACTGTACCTTTTCTGTTTAGGAACATATAAATACTTAGCATGTGTTACAGTTACCTACAACATTCAGTACAGTCACATGCTGTACAGGTTTGTAACCTAAGAGCAGTAGGTTATACCACATATCGTGTTTATGTAGGGGATGGTTTCAGGATGAAACTGTTTCACCTCAGATCATCAGGCATTAGTTAGATTCTCATAAGGGGAGTACAACCTAGATCCCTTGCATGCATAGTTCACAGTAGGCTTTGTGCTCCTATGAGAATCTAGTGGGGCCACTGATCTGACAGGAGGCGGAGCTCAGGCAGTAATGCTCCCTTGCCTGCACTCACCTCCTGCTGTGCTGCCTGGTTGCTAACAGGCCACAGACCAGTACTGTTCCTCAGCTCGGGGATTCGGGACCCCTGGCCTGTACCATCTAGGTTTGTGTAAGTACACTCTATGATATTTATGCAAGGATGAAATATCCTAAGGACTCATTTCTTAGAATGTATTCTTTAAGTGACGCATTATTATATACAGATGCACTCGTTAGAATGTTAAGTAGATATTTTAAAGTGATACATATAAAGACATATACATATGATACATATAAAGTGACATACATAAAGAGTGGAAAATACCTGTTATAAGCCTAGAGAGAGTGGTATATAAAATGTTATGGCCATTATTACTATAGCTGTGTAAACTGTGTCTACCAATAAGATTACAGCTATAGTTCCAGCACTTTGGGAGACTGAGGCAGGCAGTCAGCTTGAGCCTAGGAGTTCAGTACTAGCCTGGGCAACATGACAAAACCCTGTCTTAGGCAGGCATGGTGGCACGTGCCTGTATTCCTAGCTACTCAGGGGGCTTAGGTGGAACAGTCGCTTGAGCTTGCAGGATCAAGGCTGCAAGCCATGATTATGGCACTGCACTTTAGCCTGGGTGACGGAGTGAGACCCAGTTTCTTTCTTTTTTTTTTTTTAAGCTTTGCTCTCACAACTGCATGTGCTGTGTTCCCACTAAACTCTGGGAAATCCCTGATAAGCATGTAAGAACAAGCTTATTTTCTGGTCACTAAGGCAGAAGATGCAACTCAGATGCCTGCATAGGTCAGGCAGGTAACTATGTAGGTGAAGTGGGCAGGGGCACTGGTATTTGAATAGGTAAGAATATTCTCCCCTCTCCTCCCTCACCCACACACACATACACATTCTCTCATTTCTGAAAACATACAACCATATTTGTCTTTCTTGTTTTTCCACTTTTAAGAAAGATTCAGTACAGATATACTTTTCTCTACCCTGAGGGAAAAAAACAGGTGCAAGCATATTGAAAAATGGTATTTGATGTGAGGAATTGATACAGAGTCGATGTGTTCTCTCTCTTTTTTTAATGTCCTAATGTTATCACACAATTTTCATAACTGCTGTTTTAAATATTGCCAGAATGTGTGTATGTGGTGACATAAAGTTCTAAGGGAACAGTTAAACAAGAATGTTCAAAGGAGGAAGAGAGCAGTACAAACTGTCAAAACAAGGATGTAAAAAACAAAAAGGATGCCCGTGGAAACTCTGGACTTGTGCAATGACAGAAAAGGCCACTACGCTGATACATTGTGCCAATGGCACTGAGCTGGGAGGTGGCAGTTAGGAATCTTGTGCCTCATAGTGTCTGGGGACTAAAAATAGCTCTGTAAGGTGACAACATGTGGCAGAGACTTGGGGGAGGAGAACAGGGCTTTGTGTTGTGCTGTGCTGTAGTATACTGCATTAGAGCTGCAGTGAGAAGGCCTGCATCCCAATCCAGCTTTATTAGCTGTGTGACCTTGGATAGTTCACTTCTTTTTTTTTTTTTTTTTTTTGAAAGGAAAGAAGAAAAGAAAGAAAAAAAGGAGTGAAGGGGGAAGAAAGAGGAAGAAAAAGAGGGAGAGAGAACGGGAATATTGCTTTATTCTAAAAATGGGTATTAGTAATGGCTGATCAATATTTTGTGTATTTAAAGTGGAGAATGTATATTTTGTGTATTTAAAATGGAGAGCTCTATAAATATTTATTAAGTTTACTTGTTCTGGATCTGAGTTCAAGTCCTGGTTGTCCTCATCAATTTTCTGTCTTGTTGAGTCTAAATCTCTTTATGGATCTTATGTATCTGGGTGTTAGGATCATTAGCTCTTATTGTTGCATTGATCCTTTTACCACTATATCTTTGCTTTGAAATCTATTTTATCAGATGCGAGAATTGCAACTCCTGCTTTTTATTTATTTATTTTTGCTCTCCATTTGGTTGGTAAGTCTTTCTCCATCCCTTTGAGTCTTTGTGTGTCTTTGGATGTGAAATGGGTTTGGATGCAGCATACTGTTAGGTTTTGGCTGTGTCTTTTGATTGGGGGATTTAGTCGACTTAAATTTAGAGTTACTGCCATTTGATGTTAACTGGCTATTTTATCCATTCGTTGTTATGAATTCTTCTTTATGTTGATGCTCTTTACTTTTTGGTGTATTTTTAGATGGGCTAATACTGCTTGTTCCTTTCCATATATAATGCTTCTTTCAGAAGCTCTTGCAAAGCATGCCTGGTGGTAATAAAATCTCTGAGTACTTGCTTGTTCATAAAAGATTTTATTTTTCCTTCAGTTGTGAAGCTTAGTTTGGCAGGATATGAAATTCTGGGCTGAAAGTTCTGTTCTTTGAGGTTGTTGAATATTGGCCCCCACTCTCTTCTGGCTTGTAGGGTTTCTGCTGAGAGATCTGCTGTAAGTCTAATAGGCTTCCCTTTGTGAGTAACCTGACCTTTCTCTCTGGCTGCCCTTAGTATTTTCTCCTTCATTTCAACCCTGGTGAATCTGATGATTATGTGCCTTGGGGTTGCTCTTCTTGCGGAATATCTTTGTGGTGTTCTCTGTATTACCAGGGGTTGAATATTGTCCTGCTTTGCTATATTGGGAAAGTTTTCCTGAATAATATCCTGAAGAATATTTTCCAGCTTGGATTCATTCTCTCTGTCACATTCAGGTACACCTATCAAATGTAAATTAGGTCTTTTCACATAGTCCAATATTTCTTGGAGACTTTGCTCATCTCTTTTTATTCTTTTTTCTCTATTCTTGTCTTCTCATTTTATTTCATTAAGTTGGTCTTCGACCTCTGATGTCCTTTCTTCTGCTTGATCAATTTGGCTATTCAAACTTGTGCATATTTCGTTAAGTTCTCGTGTTGTGTTTTTCAACTCCATTAGTTCATTTGTATTCCTCTCTATATTGTCTATTCTTGTTAGCATTTTGTCAAACCTTTTTTCAGAGTTCTTAGTTTCTTTACATTGGGTTAGAACAAGTTCTTTTAACTCCCAGAAGTTTCTTATAACCTTCTGCAGCCTACTTGTGTCAATGGAACACAGTCCTTCTCCATCAGGGCTTGTTCTGTTGCTGATGAGGAACTGTAATCCCCTGTAGAGGCAGAGGGGTTCTGATTTTGGGTATTCTCAACCTTTTTAGGCTGGTTTCTTCCCTTTGTTATAAATTTATCCATCTGTTGTCGTCTTTACAATTCCTGCCTTTCTAATTAGGTTTCTGAGTGAACATCCAGTTTATTGATTCCCAGCACTGGAATCCGAGCAACCCACTGCGCCAGCCAAAGCAGCAGTGTTAAGACTGACGGTGCTCTTCTGCCTGATATTCTCCGGTCTGGCTTCCTTCTTGAGTCCGTAATAAGCGGCTCTGCCTTCCCGGAGCTCCAAACGTTGGTCGGGGGGAACCAGTCCCGTTTACTCTGCACGAAGAGCTGCCACGCCGAGGCGCCGGCAAAACTGCTGCGCCGGCCACGAGAGTTGCGCTGGCGACCCATGGGGCTCCTCCACTGGGAATCTTCTGGTCCTTGAGCAACGAAAATTCGTCTGAAAGTGTGGCATCCTCTCGTTATCTGCGCTTTCACTGGAAGCTACAATCCCGAGCTGTTAGCAATCAGCCATCTTGGATCTTCAAAAATAAAAAGAAGAGACCCAGTTTCAAAAAAAAAAAATCATATTAAGGATGATATTTTTTTCTGTCTTCAAACTTTCTGAAATAATACTTTCATTATATTAGTAGATTATATCAAGCAAATATATACAAAGTAAATAATTTTGAAAAAGTACAAAGTATATTAGTATATTTTTCTTTTTTTTGGAAACTAAATTTGGGATATTAATTGAGTTTCCTGGATTGTTATAACTTTTTTTTTTTGAGGTGGGGTCTTGTTCTGTCACCCAGGTTGGAATGCAGTGGTGTGATATTGGCTTACTACAACCTCTGCCTTTCAGGTTCAAGTAATTCTCCTGCCTCAGCCTCCTGAGTAGCTGGGATTACAGGTGCCTGCCACAGTGTCCCGCTAATTTTTGTATTTTGAGTAGAGACGGGGTTGGCCAGACTGGTCTCTAGCTCCTGACCTCAAGTGATCCACCTACCTCAGCCTCCCAAAGTGCTGGGATTATAGGCGTGAGTCACTGTGCCTGGCCTGTTAAAACATTTGAGAAGAAAAATTTTACACTAAAAGAGTTCCTATAGAATAATTCAGACCATTTAATTTTACAGAATCCCTGTGAAGTGAAAGACCTGGTTAAAGGTGGTGGCTTAGCTGAAATTGCTTCTCTTGACAATTACAACAGAGTTTTCTCTTGGACTGCGGTTCCTAATCTAGAATCTAGAAGGCATATGAAGTCTCCTTTTAAAGTTCCTAAAATTTTATACACTTAGACATTTTAGTGGCCCTACATTAAGAAGATATGTAATGTCAAAATGTCATGGTTACAGTAATATATTAAAATGGATGTTTCTGTTAATTAAACACAGTAATATCTAAATACAGACAAAAATATGTCATAGTTGTCACAGCTACAGACAGTGTTTCCCATACATAATGTGTTTTCACATAGTATGCCATACTCTAAAAATTTTAATACATTGCCGACCGTGAAATTCTGAAAAAGTCTTTCTGGTTGGCCTGCTGCACTGGATGTAAATGTGTGATCATATTCATACCCTTCAGGTTGGGAATCACTGTTGTGTATTCTTTCTTGTAGATTAGAACACCACTTCTGGGTTCATGGCTTGCCTGTACTTCTCTTAGAATACTAAGAAATATAATTTTGTTAAAGCTTCTTGTGAAGCATTGGCTTACGTGGATTATATGAGATTGGCCTGAATGTGTGCTGCCTCCTTACATATTCTAGAAACGATTTAATCATTTTTAGTTTATCCTCTCTCTCTCCCTCTTTCTCTCCCTCTTCTCTCTCTCTCTGTGTATTTGTCTGTCTGTCTCTCACGTACACACACACACATGCCAAAATAACTCTATTTCAAAATATTTATGTAGTCAAAATTTTAATATTTGCGAATCACGTAATTATGAAAAAGTCTTTCTGGTTGGGCTGCTGCATTGGATGTAGATGTGAGATCACAGTCATCTGTTTATTTTTGTTCTTTTATATTCTAATTCAAAGTAACAAAGTGTACATGCATTGTTTTTACCAAAACATTTGTGAAATGAAATTTTGTGAGAAGTTACTGAGACTGAGGATTTTTTCTTTTGAAATTCGTAAAATATATGATAAACAAATTCTTGGTAATTGATTGCTATATGTGGAACCCTAAATTGAGTGTTTCACTAAATTACACCAGTGTGGGTTTTATAAAAAAGGTAGTTTTGCTTCTGCTTTTGAATTCTAGTAAATTATGTTATGACTAAAAACTGACTTCTCACTAAAATTGTCAACATGCATTATTGAATGTAGTGTGTATTGTTCATACAGGTACAAGTGTCATGGTCTAGATAGATGTGTAGGCATCTTGGACTATGGGGTAACCTGGCCATTGTTGTTTCAGAATCTTAGATTGTCATATTTACGTATTTAAAGATTAGTCCTTCAGAGAGTTTGATAAGTAATGTGAAGGGACAAATACCACCAGTGTGTAGTAGTTTAACAAATGTATACTAGTTTAGCTATGTAGGGTTTTGTTCTTTGTTGTTGTCATATATAGTTTGTTGGAATAAAAAATGTTTTATTGAGGTATGAATTACTTAGAATACAGTTTACCAATTTTAAACGTATAATTGATGAGTTTTGACAGATGTTTAAACTATGATCAGAATCATGATACAGATGTTCATTACCTAAAAAGTTATTTTAAAAGTTTCTTGTGTCCATTTGTAGTCAAGCCCCTTCCCTCTCCTTGACCTCTTAAAGTACTGATCTCCTTGCTATTCCTAGTTTAGCATGTTCTGTAATTTTTAAAATAGACTGATACATGGGTAGTTTGTTGTGTCTGACCTCTTTCGTTTAACATAATGGTTTGAGGTTCACCCATGTTCATGTTTCAGTAGTTTTATTTTATTGCTGTGTATTTTATTTTATTTCTGAGAACACTATTTTATTGTATGACTATGCCACAGTTTGCTTATCTATTCATTAGGTGATGGTCATTTGGGTTTTTTCATCGTTTGGCTTTTATGCATACTGCTTCTATGACCATTTACACACAGCTTTTTGGCAATGTATAATTTTATTTCTGTCTGGTAAAGAGTCAGAAGTAGAATTACTGGGTTTTATTCTAACTGTGTGTTTAATTTTGTAACAAACTGCCAACGGTTTTCTGTATCATTTTGCATTCCCACTAGCAATATATGAGTTTCAGGTGTTCTACATCCTCACCAACACTTGATAATACAAGGTTTAAATTTTAGGCATCCTAATGATACAAAGTCATATTTCATTGTGGTTTTAGGTTATATTTCATATGTGTTACCTGTATATCCTTTTTGGTGACTCGTTTATTTAAATTTTTTCCCAGTGTTTTTATTAGAGTTGTAAGAGTTTTTTTTTTTTAATATTCTTAATACAATACAATAAATATAACAGATAAAATATGCTTTTATTGGTTACATTTGGTAAGTTTTTTCCAAGAAATGGCCTGCCTTTTTTCTGCTTTATAATGTGTTTTGAAGAACAACAGGTTTTTTTTAATAGAAAGACTGATTTATTTTTTTCCTTTTATGGTTTGTACCTTTTTGTGAATTTTAGAAATTTTACCCCAAAATCACAAAGATTTTCTCCTGTTTTCTAGGACTTTTGTAGTTTTTATATCTTACATTTAGGACTATGAAGCATTCTGAGTTAATTTTTATATATGTTGTGAAAGAGAATAAAAAATGTATCTGGTCTTTGCCCTTGTTCTTGGTGCAGAAGAACAAGGGAGTCCCTTTTAAAACCCTGGGAGTTTCCTGAGTGGTGCAAGTGCTTTTTATTGGTAATGAGATGACCTAAGGGAGGGGATCCTAGATAGCTTCAGGATGGAGGGCGGCTTGTCATAAAAACGAACCAAAAAACCAACCGTGGGTTAGAGAGTTAGGACTTTCAGTACCCTCTCCCCCCAGAGGGGAGAGGGGCCAGAGACTGAGCTCATTTACCAATGGCCAGTGATTTAATCATTCATGCCTCCCTATGGAGGTAATGAAACCTCTATAAACACCCTTAAACAGTGGGGTTCAGAGCCAGGCATAGTGGCTCATGCCTGTAATTCTGTCACTGGGAGGCTGAGGCAGTTGGGTGGCTTGAGTTTGAGACCAGTCTGGGCAACATGGCAAAATCCCATGTCTACAAAAAATACTCTAGCTGGGTGTGGGTGGTGCATTCCTGTAGTCCCAGCTGCTTGAGGGTACTGAGGTGCGAGGATCACTTGAGCCTGGGATATTGAGGCTGCATTGAGCTGTAATTGCACCACTGCACTCCAGCGTGGGTGACAAAATGAAACCCTGTCTCAAAAAAACTAAAACAACAACAACGAAAATGGGGTTCAGGGAGCTTCTAGGTTGGTGAACACACTGATTTTTCTAGGAAGTCGACACTCCTAGAGAGGGCATGGAAGCTCTGTACTCCCTCTCCCCGTACTTTACCCTGTGCATCTCTTCCATTGGTCTGTTCCTGAGTTGTATACTTTATAGTAAAGCAGCAAATAGTTTTCTTTTCTATGAGTCATTTAGTGAATTAAATTACCTGAGTTTAGGGGAACCCCCAAATCTGTAGCTGGTTGGTTCAGAAGTATGGGTTGCCCCAGGACTTGTGAGTTGCATCTGAAGTGAGGGCAGTCTTGTAGGACTCCTTAACTTGTGGGATGCCACTAATTTTGGGTGGTGTCAGAATTTAACTGAATTGTTGGATACCCACTTGGTGTTGGAGAATTGGTGTGGAAACTCTCACACATTTGTGTCAGTGGTGTTAGAAAAAAAGACTTCATCATTGGTGTCAGGAATGGGATTTGCTAGAGCATCCCACAGAACTCAGGAAAGTGCTTTATTTACTATTACCAGTTTATTATAAAATATAAAACTGAGGAACAGCCAAGTGGAAGAGGTACTTAGAGCAAAGTTAGGGTGGAGAGTTGCAGAGCTTCCATACAGTCTCCAGGTGTGCTACTCCCCCAGCTCTCTGTGTTCACTAACCTCGGAGCTCCCTAAGCCCTGTTTCAGGAATTTTTATGGAGGCCTCATTACATAGATAATGATTGATTACATCTTGAGCCATTACTGATTGAACTCAATCTCCAGCTCCTCTCACTCCCCCAGAATGTGAGTGGGGTGCTGAAAGTTCTAACCTTCTAATTGTGGCTTGATATTTCTGGTGACCGGCCACCATCCTGAAGCTATCTAGGGGCCTTCTAAGAGTCACCTCATTAGCATAAACTCAGGTTTGGTTGAGAAGGGCATGTTATGAATAACAAAAGACACTATCACTCAGGAAATTCTGAGGGTTTTAGGAGCTTTGCTCCAGGAACCTGGAATAAAGACCAAGTGTTTTTTATTATACAGAAGTTTTTTTTTTAATTTTTGTTTTGTTGCATTATCAACCCTCCCATATCGTATGTCAAAAAGACCAGCTTTTCCCCCATTAAATTATTTTGGGACCTGTCTAAAATATCAGTTGACAGTATATATGTAAGTTATGTCTGGGTTCTCTGCTGCTACATTAATCTCTGTCTCTGTCTCTCTATCTATGTTTATATATATTGTGTCAGTTACCATGTTCAGGTTTTAGACATTTTTGGTTAAATTTATAAGTTTTTCTTGTTATATTAAGTGGCATTTTTTCTTAATTTTACTCCCAATTTTTCATTGCTAGCACATTGCTAGTATATACAATCGATTTTTGTATATTGTCTTTGTATCCTGCAACCTTGTTAAATTCACTTTTTAGTCCTAGGACTCTTTTTTTGTAGATACCTTGGAGTTTTCTACAAAGGTAGTCATTTGTGAATAAAGATAATTTTACTTCTTCCTTTCGTGTGTTTGCCTTTTACTTTTTTATTGTATCCATTACAGTTTTCATTATAATGTTAATTAAAAGAAATGAGAGTGTTCGCCTTTGCTTTTTCTCAGCCTTATGGGGAAGGCATCCAATCTTTTAATATTAAGTATAATGTTAACTGTAGTTTTTTTCACAGATGTAGTTTATTAGGGTGAAAAGTTTCTTTTTCTTTATCTCTTTCTGTTTCTACTTTTTCTCTCTCTTCTTTTTTCTCTTTTTTTCTTTCGTCTTGTCTCGTCTTGTTCTTGTCTTGCCTTTGCCTTGTCCTGTGTTGTCTTTGTCTTGTCTTGTGTTGTCCTATGTTGTCTCTGTCTTGGCCTGTGTTGCCTGTCTTGTCCTGTGTTGTCTTTGTCTTTGTCTTGTGTTGTCCTTGTCTTTATCTTGTCTTTGTGTTGTCGTGACCTGTCCTGTCTTTGTCTTTGTCTTGTGTTGTCCTTGTCCTGTCTTGTGTTGTCTTTGTCTTGTCCTGTCTTGTGTTGTCTCATCTTTGTCTTGTCTTGTCCTGTGTTGTCCTTGTCTCATCCTGTCCTGTGTTGTCTTTGTCTTGTGTTGTCTTGACCTGTGTTGTCCTATGTTGTCTCTGTCTTGTCTTTGTGTTGTCCTGTGTTGTCTTTGTCGTCTTGTCTTTGTGTTGTCTTGTCCTGGCCTGTGTTGTCCCGTCTTTGTCTTGTCTTGTTCTGTATTGTCTTTGTCATCTTGTCTTTGCCCTGGCCTGTGTTGTCTTTGTCCTGGCCTGTGTTGTCTCGTCTTTTTCTTGTCTTGTTCTGTGATGTCTTTGTCGTCTTGTCTTTGTGTTGTCCTATCTTGTCTTGTCCTGTTTTGTCTTGTCTTTGTCTATGATAGCTAATTAATTAATTATTTATTTATTTATTTTGAGACAGAGGCCTGCCCTGTCAATCTGGCAGAAGTGCAGTGGCATGATCTCGGGTCATTGCAACCTCCACCTTCTGGTCCTGGGTTCAAGTGATTCTCCTGCCTCAGCCTCCCCAGTAGCTGGGACTACAGGCATAAGCTGCCATGCCTGGCTAGGTTTTGTATTTTTAATAGAGATAGGGTTTCACCACATTGGCCAGGCTGGTCTTGAACTCCTGGCCTCAAGGCCACCTGTCTTGGCCTCCCAAAGTGTTGGGATTACAGGTGTGAGCCACTGTGCTCAGCCAATATCTGATTACTTATTTTTGATATTGATAAGTTGTGTCTTTTTTCTTAAATGCTAGCAAAACATTAGTCACTTTTGTTCATCTTTTCAAAGAAACATCTTTTTGGTTTTTTTTTTTCTTTCTGTTTTATTGATTTCTTCATTATTTTCTCCTTTCTATTTGCCTTGTGTTTAATTTACTCTTTTTTTCTAGCTTCCTAAGGTGGAAGTTTAGATAATTGATTTGAAGCCCTTCTTATAGTTGGGAGGTTAGGAGCGATGACACCTCCACCCACACTCATGCCCCCACTCCTCACAGTTGAAAATCCTCCTATAACTTGACTCCTCAAAAACTTAACTACTAATAGTCTACTGTTGACTGGAGGCCTCACTGGTTACATAAAGGGTTGAATAACCCACAGTTTTAATGTTATATACAGTATATGCTATATTCTTACAGTAAAGTAAGCTAGAGAAAAGAAAATGTTACTAAGAAAATCATAAGGAAGAGAAAATATATTTACTATTCATTAAGTGGAAGTGGATCATCACACAGGTTATTCTTGTCATCTTCATGTTGAGTAGGCTAAGGAGAAAGAGG